CCTCTCTGAGACCAGACATCCAGACAGCCTAAAGACACAGCATTACACTCATGTGGACACAAGGGGGCAGAGTGCATCATGGGAGCGTCTCACCTGAGCGTCTCCAGTCTGCAGGGGGCGCTCTTCAGTCCAGAACACAGCAGCTCCACTCCTGAGTCCTGGAGGTCGTTGTGACTGAGATCCAGATGTGTGAGACTGGAGGAGCTGAGGACTGAGGCCAGAGGACCACAGCTGTGAGGAGACACAGACCACAGCCACAAAGACTGAGGACAGAGAGGGACATTAGAGACTAGAACCTCCACACAAGAGTTTAAATACAGTCTGGACTCACAGGGCTTTGGTGGAGGCTCTGACCACCGGCAGCAGACACAGGAGAGCTGTCTCTGAGCCCTGGTATTTCCTCAGGTCAAACTCCTCCAGGTCTGAGTCTGAGGACAGTAAGATGAAGGACAGAGCAGACAACTGAGCAGGAGAATTTATCCAGAAAAGTTCTCCTTCTCTCATATACTTCTGTATCTCCTCCAGCAGAGTGTGGTCGTTGAGTTCGTTCAGACAGTGGAGCAGGTTCATTCTTCTCTCTGCAGACAGACTTTCTTCATCCAGCTTCTCTTTGATGAACTTTACTGTCTCCTGATTGATCCGTTTACTTCCTGTGAGAGTCAGCAGACCCTGCAGCAGCCTCTGATTGGTCGGCAGAGACAGCCCCAGGAGGAAGCGCAGGAACAGGTCCAGGTGTCCGTTTGGACTCTGTAAGGCCTGGTCCACAGCAGAGCGGTAGAAGACTTCAGGGTCTGGACTCTCAGAGGAGTGTGGTGTCTCCAGCAGGTTCCCTCTAAAGCTGAAGAAGGTCAGATGGACGTGAAGAGCAGCCAGAAACTCCTGCACACTCAGATGGATGAAGCAGTAGACCTTGTCCTGGTACAGGCCTGGCTCCTCTCTAAAGACCTGTGTGAACACTCCGGAGTACACTGAGGCCGCTGCAGCGTCCAGCCCACACTCGCTCAGGTCACTCTCGTAGAAGATCAGGTTTCCTTTCTGCAGCTGCTCAAAGGCCAGTTTTCCCAGAGACTTCACCATCTCCCTGGTCTCTGGAGTCCAGTGAAGGTCCTCCCCTGATCCCTGGTGATACTTGATGTTCTGGACTTTGGCCTGCACCACCAGGAAGTGGACGTACATCTGTGTGAGAGTCCGGGGCAGCTCTGGTTCCTCTGTTTGTTCCAGAAGCTTCTGTAGAACTGTGGAGAGGATCCAGCAGAACATCGGCATGTGGCTCATGATGTGGAGGCTGTGGACGCTCTTGATGTGGGAGATGACGGCTGTGGCCTGGTCTCTGAAACTCTTCCTGAAGTACTGCTCCTTCTGCGGGTCAGTGAACCCTTGCACCTCTGTCACCATGGAGACGCACTCAGCAGGGATCTGATTGGCCGCGGCGGGGCGCGTGGTTATCCAGAGGCGAGCGGAGGGAAGCAGGCTCCCCCTGATGAGGTTCACCAGCAGCACGTGCACTGAGGCGGACTCTGTGGGGTCGGTCAGGACCCGGGTTCGGCCGAAGTCCAGAGGAAGTCTGCACTCGTCCAGACCGTCAAAGATGAAGAGCACCTGGAGCTGTTGGAAGCTGCAGAGATGTTTGGATGGACTGAAGAAGTGGTGCAGCAGCTCCACCAGGCTGAACTGTGTGTCTCTGAGCACATTGAGCTCTCTGAAAGTGAACGGGAACAGCAGCTGGAGGTCCTGGTGGGCCCGGCCTTCAGCCCAGTCCAGACTGAACTTCTGAGTCAGCACTGTTTTCCCCACGCCGGCCACGCCCTTCGTCAGCACTAATCTGATTGGCTGCTCTGTCTTCTCTGTTCTCACTGCTGTATGTGCCTCTTTCAGTGTTGTTTTATCTGGTTTACTTTTACCAAATAGTTTATTCGTTATTGACTTCAATCCTTTTCTTTTTGACAGCTCTGCTCTGATTGGCTGTGGTGAATGTGGGCGGGGTTTAAAGAGGTCTTCACATGTGCTGGTCTCTGGAGCGGCCGGTCTCCTGGACGCCATCTCCATGTGTCTGACCTCATGTTCCTGGTTGACCTCTGAGGCTCCGCCCTCTGTGATGTAGAGCTCTGTGTAGATCTGGGTCAGGGGGGCGGAGTCTCCTGCTTTAGCCACGCCCTCAAACACACGACTGAATCTCTGCTGCAGATGCCTCTTCAGTTTCTCACAGTGAACTCCAACTTCAGTCCCTGAGGAAGACAACAGAGGCCCTCAGTGAACTCACAATCTCCAAATGACACAGAACTATGAGAACACAGCAGGTTTACCCCACAGTCCTCTGCTCAGCCACTTTTCTCTCCAATACAAATGTGTCAAATACAGTTTATCTTTAACTCATTTGACATTGTATTTGGATTTCTTGTCATTTTGGATCAAATATTGAAAAATACAACTGTTTACTGAAGTTCTGTAAAGTGGGAGGTGGAGTTACGGATCTGTTGGACGTGTCACATGAGGCGATGTGGCCCCCAACACATTATTATTATTGTTGTTGTTGTTGTTGTTGTTGTTGTTGTTGTTGTTGTTGTTATTATTATTATTATTATTATTATTATTATTATGTTTCTAGATGCATTATAATAAATACACAGATAAGAACAGTCCTGGAGGTTCAGCTGCATAAATAAGTTGTAGAAGTAAAAACAAACAGCCACAAAAAGCCCTGTTTGTACAAAGAGGGAGTCAAATATCGTCCAATACAAATATTAATAAACTATGTAGGTCTTGGTCTCTCTAATTTGATTCCAAAATGGCTCAGTTACATGTAATTAATGTGAGTCTAAATAAATATAATAATTTGCAAAATAAGAGCTCAGTCGCACGGGAGGAGCTCGGAGTAGAGCCGCTGCTCCTCCACGTCGAGAGGAGCCAGTTGAGGCTCGGGCATCTGTTCCCGATGCCTCCTGGGCGTCTCCCTCAGGAGGTGTTCCGGGCATGTCCCACCGGGAGGAGGCCCCAGGGAAGACCCAGGACACACTGGAGGGACTATGTCTCTCGACTGGCCTGGGAACACCTCGGGGTCCCCCCGGAGGAGCTGGAGGACGTGTCTGGGGTGAAGGAAGTCTGGGAGTCTCTGCTTAGACTGATGCCCCTGAGACCCGACCCCGGATAAGCGGAAGAAAATGGATGGATGGAATTTGCAAAGTAGTTTACGTAATGATTGGCGTTGTTAAATTATTGACTAAATATTGACGTCCATCCCAAGTTTGTTTGTCTCACCATAAAAGTGACGCACACGACTGAATTCAACTACAAGATTTATTTATAAAATTATGATTTTACTTTCCGAAATAAAAATAATATAAAAAGTTTAAAAGCTCAGGTCTAATCAGGTCTTTGGGACTAATGAGCATTTAATATAAAATGTGCTTCTGAAACTACTTAGCACGTAGCTGTTTACCCTCCACAAAACATTTATTACTATTTGAATTTTTTTAAAGTCTATGGGAAAAATGAATGGAAAACGTTCTTCCATAACTGGAGTGAACTTCCAGGTGGATGGGAGAGTTGAGCTCAATGGGAATGAAAGTGGGTGAAGAATTTCACGATAGTTTGTTCTTAGTTGGAGGATTTACCTGTTGTACGTGCGTTTGGGTTGTTCTTACTGTTCTGCAGACGCTGGGCCAGATGCTCCTGGTCCATCTTCTTCAGGAAGTCCAGGGTGATGTTCAGAACCTCTGTGCTCAGCTCCTCACCCTCAGAGCATTCTGGGTAATCTGAGGCCAGGAGCCTGTGGAGCCTCTGCAGCTGCTGTTGGACATAAACCAGGACCTGCTCCTCCAGAACCTGAAACACACAGTTTGGACTAAAGTATTGGCTCTGATCCAGGATGGAAGTTCCAGGTGAACTTTGTGAGCAATGAAACAGAACTGTGCTTTTACTCTTATGATGCTCTGGACCAGCAAAGACTCAGCTCCTACAAAAGTGCATTTGAAACACGACTCCTTAACCTCGTGCTGCAGCTCGATTGTTTTGAGTTTTCAAACTATTTTCTGAAAGAAAATGTTCATTGTTTGTTTGTTGGTGATAAGGGTGAAAAAGGAAGGCAACAAAAACATTTAAACATTTAATCAAAAACCTGAGAAAAGTCCAAGGGTCTTGAGTCTTGAGTAGTGGAGTTCCTCAGGGCTGTGTACTTTCCCCCTCACTCTTCTCCCTGTAGCACACACACTGCCCCTCAGCCTCCATGTGAACCTGAATACTACACTATACTGAAACCTTTTCTACCATGGACCTCTCCTGGACACATGAGGGCGTCTCACCTGTAAATAGTGATTTTATTTTGTAGTGTCTGTAGATTATGTCATGGCAGGGTAATAACACCAGAGCAGACCCACCAAGGCTGGAGACTGAAAGCTACTGGAAAGGCATATGGGAAAGGGAGGCATCACATAACACTGATGCACAGTGGCTGGTGGATCTGAGAGAAGACCACAGCAACCTCCCTGAACAGAATCCAGTCACCCCTGGATGTCTGCCACTGTGATGAAGAGTCTCAGGTATGAAAAACTGGACCAGGCCCTGACATGATCCCCTGAATGGCTCATCCAAGGGCGTACGATCCTGATCCTGAAGGATCTCTCAAAGGGTGCAGTCCCATTCAACTATCGGCCAATAACCTGTCTCTCCACGACATGGAAGCTCATGTCAAGCGTCATCACGGCTAAGATAAGCAGCACATGGTTCAATACATGAGTGCAGCACAGAAGAGCAATTGGCAAAAACACTAGGGAAGACAAACACCAACTCATGGATCACTGAGTGCTTGGAGCTGTACAACATCAACAGGACTCTAAGGGCGTTCATCGCAAACTCGATGTGGTTGTGGAAAACCACCCTTGAAGCCAATGGGAAGCCACTTACACAAGTGTCTATCAAATGTGGCATATACCAAGGAGACTCACTGTCCCCATTGCTGTTCTGCATCTGAACCCCCTCAGCCAAATCATCGACCGCACTGGCTACGGATACCGACTCAGAAACGGGGCCACCATCAGTCACCTCCTCTACATGGACGACATCAGCTGTACGCTAAGAGTGAGCGAGACATCGACTCACTGATCCACACCACAAGGATCTACAGTACAGACATTGG